AGCACCAGAATTCCCATTGTGTTGGAAAACCTTGATATATGAGGGATTTTTAAAAGTGTAATTTCTAGATTTATTCTAGATAGTTATTTGTAAGTAAAGAATAATATTAAAAATGCCTTTTTATTTTATTAAGGTTGAGATTCACTGCTGTCAAGCAGTGCTTTGAGTTTTTGGAAGGACTTCATATGAGTAATATTCTGCAGCTTACTTTTTTTTTATGCACATACTCTTTTGTGGCTTTTTACAGTAAGAATATATTTTCTTTACTTTTAGGGCATCTGGAGAAGAAGCAAAGGTGAAGCCCTATCTGCCCAAAGACAAGCAGTTTCTATTAACCCGAAATGGTAAAGGAAGTGAAAACCTTCGTTTCTGAAATGTAGTATAAATCAGCTGTGCTGTGCTGTGTTGTGTGAAGCTGTGATGATCGTGCTACAGCTGTTTTGTAATTGTCACAATATGGTTGTTTTGGGGCTCAGTTCCATGTTACAAGCGCTGTAAACAGATGGAGTACTCTGATGAGCTGGAGGCCATTATAGAAGAGGATGATGGAGATGGGGGATGGGTGGATACCTATCATAACTCTGGTATGAAACAGAATCTGAACAAACAGTATCAAGTGGCCGTTAAATGCATGTTTTTGTCACGCTTAAGTTTCTGACAGACATTCTCAGAGACTCTTTTTGTGTTACTAGGTGTTACAGGGGTGACAGAAGCAGTTCAGGAAATCTCATTGGATAATAAGGTAGGCAGCATTTTGTTGACTACTTCAAGAATGGAATGATGAATGAATTGGTTGAAAGTTGTTAAAGAAAGAGTTCACCCATAAATGAAAATTTACTCTCCCTTAGGGTTAGGGGGTCAGGGCCATTCAAGATGTAGATGAGTTTGTTTCTTCATTGCAACAGATTAGGAGAAGTTTAGCATTACATCACTTGCTCACCGATGGATCCTCTGCAGTGAATGGGTGCCGTCAGAATGACAGTGTGTTTGAAAGAAGCGGTTCCATCATTAAAGACATCTTTGAATCTGGAGAGAAATATGTCGGTGGATTTTAATGTGAGAGGACAACAGGGGATGGACTTTTCACTGAAGGATTACTTGTGGATTATTGTGATGTTTTTAATCAGCAGTTTGGACTCTCAATCTGACGGCACCCATTCACTGCAGAGGATCCATTGGTGAGCAAGTGATCTAATGCTAACTTTCTCCAGATCTGTTGTGCATCAAATCTACGTCTTGGATGCTCTGAGGATGAGTAAATTTTAATTTTTGGGTGAACTATTCTTTTAGTCATATTGTGTATATATAAATATATATTGTTTTGTATGCATGTGAAGGACAATATGAATATGAACGTGCAGAAGGGTGCAAGTGGAAATGGTGATGGAGATGATGATGATGATGAAGGAGAGGCAGCAGACATGGAAGGTAGCTCTGAATGTTTGTTTTAGTTTTCATGACGCATTATCAGTCGGTAATAACAGTCATAACTGGTAATTGAATATTGTTTATTCATATTTCAGAATATGAAGAAAGTGGACTTTTGGAGACAGATGAAGTAAGAAATTATGCTCAACGCAAGTTTTTCAACAACAGGATTTGCTTTGGCAAAATTGTTCTTTTAAATTTTTTGTTTAGGCCACTCTTGACACAAGTAAAATGGCTGATTTAAGTAAAACCAAGGCAGAGGCTGGAGGGGAAGATGCCATTCTACAGACAAGAACTTATGATCTTTACATCACATATGATAAATATTACCAGACCCCAAGACTATGGCTGTTTGGATATGATGAGGTGATTTTGCTTTATTATTCTTTGACGTGAAGGCAACATGTGATATGATGTAAAATTGTGGCCTGCATTACTCCCATCACTTAAATAAAACACATTTTGTTTAAATCCTCCATGTTGTGCTTATTTCCAGGACAGACAGCCTCTAACGGTGGATCAGATGTATGAAGACATCAGCCAGGATCATGTTAAAAAGACGGTCACCATTGAGAATCATCCCCACCTGCCCCCACCTGCTATGTGCTCTGTGCATCCGTGCAGGTAAATACAAACTTTACATGCATCTACCTCTCATTTACAGTCAGTGAACTAAAAAGCTGCTCTCTTGATTTTATTTGTCAGACATGCAGAGGTAATGAAAAAGATTATCGAGACAGTGGCGGAAGGAGGAGGAGAACTTGGGGTCCATATGTATCCTTTCTTTAAAAAAAAAAAGGTTGTAGTACAGTATTATATGCATAAGCACATACACTATTGTTCAAGTCTAAGGTCGGTAAGATTTTTTTAAAGTTTAATTTTAAGACATCTCTAATGCTCACACAAGCTGCATTTATTTGATCAAAAACAGTAAAAACAGTAATATTGTGAAATAGTATTACAATTTAAAATAACTGCTTTCTATTTGAATATATATTAATGTACTTTATTCCTGTGATGCAAAACTGAATTTTCATATCACAGTTTTCACAAAAATATTAAGCAGCACAACAGTTTTCAACATTGATAATTAGAAGAAATGTTTCTTGAGCACCAATCAGCAAATGATTTCTGAAGGATCATGTGATATGTTTATGTATGATTAAAAAAAAAAAAGTTATAGAAATCAAAATTATCTTAAATGTTATTGGCTACTGGCATACCCTGCATCCTGGGAGGCTTTTTAAACTGAGGAATTTCCCATTTTTGCTGGACACTTTTTGGTCAAAAGGATTTTAAAATCATAAGAAACATAAATTCAGACAAGTATGCCTAGTAGTGTGCTTAAACTACAAGCATCTCGTAGATTTATTCTTGTTGTTTATGTTGTAAATTAACAAATGTTTATGTTGGCTCATGAGTAACCTTTTTTTTAAAAACACATTTTCCCTTAACTTTCATAACTCCAGGTATCTTCTGATTTTCCTGAAATTTGTGCAAGCTGTCATTCCTACAATAGAATATGATTACACGAGGCATTTCACCATGTAAGTCACCGTTACGACCACAACTATGACAACACGTATTGTTACTGCGTTGAGGAAGCAGAGACAATATAAAACTCAAAAGAGACACTGTCCTGGAAAGATGGTGGGAATGTTCTATGAAATGCCTGGGAAGAGATCTGTGGAGTCCGATGGTTAGCCATACACATTTAAATCCAGTTTTTCCAACTATTCTTTAGCTTAATCTCTGTATTAGCCACTTTCTCTTAATGCTGTCCTGAAAGTAAGTGTTTTATTTTATATTTACGTTTAAAAAAAAAAACTATGCGTCATATAACAAGCCATTCTCTTGTTTTAATGGCAAATAATAAATGGCTGTCAAAATATGTGGGTGTAATTTGTATGATCAGAATCATTTTGTGAGTGTGAGCTGAGTTTTGTCTGGTGTTGGACGTGTCAGCTTACATGCCAGCTTGTCTTAAAGGGATAGTTCACCTTCAGTTGCTGGTCCCCATTGACTTGCCTAGTGTTTTTTTTTCTTTCTCCATAGTATGGAAGTCAATGGGGACCAGCAACTGAAGGAGAACTATCCCTTTAACGCATTGTTCTTTGAATGTTGGAATCACTGTTTTGAATCCAGACCATTGTTGAGGTAAAATGTATTCACAATCCAAAAGTCAACATCTGTAGAATTGATACATACAACAATTATTGTATGTGTGGATTTTAACGTATTGTCGACTTGGTATACAAGAGGAAGAGAAGATGGAAAGGAATTGAATTTGAACCTGCTGAAAAAGCTTATTGTGTGTTTTCTGTCCTGATGGTCCATAGATAAACATACAAATTTACATCATGAATATAAGTATGTGTAGTCTCTTGTAACCACTCTAAGTTCATCTGCCTTGGGAAAACTAGCATGTCTGTGACATAGTGATAACACTCGTTGCCTTCTCTAGTGTGCAGCTCAACCAGGTCTCGTCCCATTCGCCGATATTTGTGATATCACAAATCCCGGAAAATATGCATTGTAGTCCAAACGAGTCATTCTTGTAGTTTTTGAAAAGTGATTTCTGTTAACATTACAGTTCCTCTTGTTAAACCACTCAACCACAGACAACGTCAGAGGCGTCTTACCTGGGCTAAGGAGAAGTACATGTACAGTAAATGAACATACTTTCCAGAAGGCCAACAATCCACTAAATGTTTTTTTTATTGGTCTTATTAAGTATTCTAATTTGTTGAGATAGTGAATTGGTGGGTTTTTGTTAAATGTGAGCCAAAATCATCACAATTAAAAGAACCAAAGACTTAAACTACTTCAGTCTGTGTGCATTGAATTTATTTAATACACAAGTTTCACAATTTGAGTTGAATTACTGAAATAAATGAACTTTTCCATGACATTCTAATTTATTGAGATGCACCTGTATTCCTTATCAGCAGGGGTCTTTTACTCCATTAATTTCCGACACCAACTTCTGAAAATTTTGTCCAAGTTTAAGTTTCATTTTAAGATATGGGGGTAAAAAAACGCCCCTTATGAATTCTTGTTTCTATATTGAAAAGAGCTGTGCACAGATTCTTCAGATACCCCTTTTGTGGTCCCCCAGGTTGCGCAAACTGTATAAAACTCTAGAAAAATGAGAGACAGAGCAAGATGTTGTTCAGTTTCTGGATAAATTGGTTATGAGACAGGAGCCTGAATCACACTGCACAACAAACAACTTGGAATCAGAAAACCAACCAACCACAGCGGCACGTTCAATCATGTAGCTGGAACCCTGTAAACACACAAATGAAAGTTCTTGTTCAGATGTAATCACTAACCTTTAAAACTATGACTCCTATACTTCACAGAAAGAAACTTCATCTTAAAGAGAAACCTACTGCCACATTCTTCAACAGAAAGAATCAGAAGAGAGATGTGGTATTTAGAGTAGTTTTTGATCTCTTACACTATATAACAGCCCTTTCAGAGGCTTGTAAATTGTTTGCTTATGAATGTCTCAATAAAGACGATGGATAATAAGTATTTTGTTTTTACTTATAACCTTAATACCCGAGGCACCCTAGTACCGGAACTGTTCCTCACGGAACGGTTTAGTCCTCGTTTGTTTTTCCGGGGAGTGTGCGTCGGTCGAAACGGCCCCTTGTTTGGTGAGTTGATACTGGGAAGTTCTTCTTTACCCATTAATCATTTAAAAGGTTTTCTAAAATTCGTTATGTAACTAAATGTCTATGTGAACTATTTATTTCACCCACTGACTGTTGTTTATGCAGATCGAAGGAAGCGTGACAACAGAATATATTACGTACAACAGAACTGAAATAATGCAGATTTCACCCTTCTAGTTAATTATAGTTTGATTATAGTCAAAACAAACTTTGCGCAAGGCTCACCAGACATTCTGACAAATGCAGAAATGTCATAAATATCGAATTTATTATTAAGAATTGCGGAAACCATAGTTATACTATGGTACATATACTACTGTGGAAATTCTAGTATTTTAGGGGAAGTGTTTTTGGGACTGAGAAAAATGCTTTATCTCATGTCTAAATTGTTTTAAGTAATATTGTTTCATCTTAAAAAAAACATAATTTGTTTGTAGGAAACATGCTTACATTAATATAAGAATGTTAGTGAGAAACCACACATGGATTTACTTTGTGCTGCGCTGATCTAACCTATGGTTGCTGTGCATAAATATGTTATTGCTGTTCATATGAAGTAGATTGTGTAACGAAATGGAAGCAGACCTGTTTGCTCTCCCGTGGGTGCCAGTGAATATTGGTGGTTCTGGTCTCCTGGCCAAAGCCTGGTTCGGTGACACACAGTACCGGCTTCTGCTGAGTGACCTGAACACTGTGTGGGAAGAGGACATGACCGCAGGCGACATCCAGAGTCGAGCCCAGGCAAGAACGTACAACACTGCTGCCTGCTATCTAGTTGAAGTGCTTTTAATTCAACACTTTAGGACTTAAATTGGACCTCCATTAGCTCTTATGTCTTTCTTTAACATGAAATACATTCCTGTGAAGATGCAAACCATACTGTAGCTTCAAGTCAGTGTATTTTTGATCAACTGAAGTCACTCTGAATGATATAATTATGCCAAAACCTACGAGAATGAAATGTGTTTCAGTACAATAGTATCACAATCATTCACGATATTTTATTCTAAGGGCATTCTAGCCTGTCAAAATACTGATTTGTTCTCGTTTTCTCTTTTTCTGTGTGAAAGGATCTGAATAAGCGTCTGAGGGCTCCTACACAGGCTTTTTTCTCTCATCTGTGTTCTGTGGCACAGCCTTGTTTCTCCAGTCAAAATGATGATCAGATCTCTGCTGCACACATTACTCTTGAACAGCATGGTGACAATCTAACAGTCAAACTCAAAAGTGAGCTGGCTGGGTTGCCGTTCTACTGGGAGTTTCGCTGCACCGCAGCACCTGTTGGCGTGGTATGTACCTTATCTAATAAAATGATATCTGCAGCTATGATGTAACATGGTTTCAAAAGTGTTTGAAACATTTTACCTATTCTGTTAACCCTGTAAAGCCTAACACATGAAATAATAGTCAGTAATTGTTTTGAAATGGAACAGTTTATTGAACCTTAAGACCATATCTATTGACCGATAGATGGATGGATGGATATAAAGTTTGCTCATATTTGATACATCAACCTTTTATGGCTCATATAATATGATATAGTAGAATATGGAGCTACTCGAGGAGGGAAAAACATCTCAGATTTATTCAGAGGCCCAAACTGAGCAAAAATTGTGCAATTGCTGATATTTATATGGCCAAAAAGATGAAATCCTGGTACCTTGTAATGTAAATCTACTTACATAAAATGCATATGAATATCAGTTGTCACTCTATATCTCCAAAAAATATGTTTTAGTAAGATGATATTTAAATGCTTAGTTTTATAAAAGCTCTAGTTTTTGTTGTGAGGTCAAAACATATAGTGCAGTGCAGTACAATGATAAGAGATATAATAAACATTCCTCAAAAGCCTGATGGATCATTTTTTTAAACTCAAATTTTAACAAGATTTACAATAAATAAATAAAAATAATCAATTAACCTAAGTTGTTTCGGTCCATTAAGTGTTCATCTTAAAATATTACTAACAATATGAAAGTTATTCTTCATTTATGATGAAAATCATTATATATTTCTCATCAAAAAGACACAACTTGAAGGTGGACATTTTTAGAATTATAATAAAAAGGCCTTTTAATTGCTAAAAAAAAGTACAACCTTACAACCAAAGGGCAGAAGGCATGTAGTAGATTGTGTATGACATGTTTTTTGGCAAAATTTGGATCATGTTGATGATCTCCAGGCCTTACAAATTCATGTATCAAATATGCAGTATGTTTCTGCTTGTAAATCAGGTGTGCAGGCAGCTGGTGCGCCCCCTGCTGGGAGTGAGTAGAGTGCTGCAGCGGCAAGTGGAGGATCTAGCAGCCCTTTTGGCTCGGAAGGATGCGGAGATACAGGACTATCAGGAGAATGGAGCTGTCCTAAGTAGAGGTAACAATCACATGTGCAGTTTTGCTTGCATACTCTCTTGTGTCTGTTTTTAGCTCACTCTCATCTAAAACTCTGCCCACACAGCCAGACTACAGACGGAGCCGTTTGAGGTGCACAAGTACAGGGAGAACTTCTTCACAAAGGTGCGAAACATTTTTACATTCAGTCTCCTGCTAAATTTACCCAGTGTAAACAAGCTCCGTCAGGACTAGCATGCATGTGACACCATGATTCAGTCACATGTATGTACAGAAGCCAGGCCCCGGTGCTGCTTCTAGGGTTTGTAATGGGAGAGAGAACTGTGAAAGCTAGACAGGAAGAGAGACTGGATCTGTGTTTGACCACACACATGCATACACGCACGCACACAGTGTATAATTAGGCTGTGGTTTGTGGAACTCAGAGTGTTTGCAGCGACAGCTCAGTTGTAGCGTTTCCTCACACTGAACTGTCTATTGACTGGATAATGTTTTATTTCTTTTTCTGCAATAGGGGTGTGTGTGTGTGTGTGTGTGTGTGTGTATTTGTGTTTGAGTATTTCCTGCTTTTTTAGTAATGAGTGGGATTAGGGCGATATGTTGATAAAATGAGTGTTAATACCATGGTAGATGTACGGTCGTGTCCACGTTTGAAAATGGTTTGAAGGGTTTTACATTTTTCTAATTAAATTATAATTTTTTTTCCAATTACAAAATATGTTATCAGTTTAACAATTGGAGTGAAATGTTGAACTTTACATTTTACAAAAAGTTTTTTAAAAATCTAGAATTTCATATGACTTGAGAATGATCCAAAGATGGATCTGTGCTTTAATGGAAGCAATGAAATCTGACTTTTTGTACAAAGCAGGGTAATTATAAGTAACTAAAGCTAAAACCATAAAAAACATTTTCGCTACCTGAAATAAAATGTCAACTGAAATTAAACAAAATATTTTAACAAAATAGTTAAACTTCATGTACTAAAATAAGTTTAAACTGGGTTAAAATTTATAAAAACTCTATTTAAAAATATTTAAATTAAACATAAAAAAACAATGAGTTATAAAAATTACAAATATAGCTGCAAGCAGTGATTATCGGGGTTCAAGTGCTTTAAGGCCTTTAACGCTCTATGCTTTAGGGCAGGGGTCACCAGGCTCAGTCCTGGAGGGCCGGTGTCCTGCAGAGTTTAGCTCCAACCCTAATCAAACACACCTGAACCAGCTAATCAAGGTCTTACTAGGTATACTTGAAAATTCCAGGCAAGTGTGTTGAGCCAAACTCTGCAGGACACCGGCCCTCCAGGATCAAGTTTGGTGACCCCTGCTTTAGGGTCTAGTCCAACCCGAAATGCATGGCTGACACTAAAACTCACCCATGATGGAGAATACGCTCACAGACGCACACACAAACAGAAATGAAATGGTTAAACTATTATATTAATACTCATTAAGAATGTTTACATGCACACACATTTTGCTGCAGATATAGATATTTGAAGTAAATGATAGATAACAAAATGCTTACTGCAAGTCTTCTCTTTTTAACAATTTATATAAAATTTTCAGGTTTCACTGTAATCATATTCTGGCATAATTGTGAAAAGTTTGATATGTCTGTATAAATAAAGTGGTATAAACTTTGACTAAATGTGATTTTTAATGTAATAATATTGATTTTATAATGTCTAAATGTGGATCCAAAAGTAAAACCCCTAAAAAACACAAAATGTCTAAAACTTTCAAATTAAAAGGAAAATACAAAAAAATAAAAATGAATTCAAGATATAAAAAAAGTATCTCAGTAGTACTAAAATAGCATTGGTACAAAGATGTTCACGTGATCAATGTCACTAATGTACTTATGTGATTAGTGGTGTAGAAATAGTGCGGAATCTTAAATATTTCTTGTACATTTTGTCATATAGTTTTCAATTGCAAAACTTTACTGCTAAACTAACATTTTTATTTTCATGTTTACATTTAGTTTTTTAATCCCAAATTTTCAGTGTGAACAGTGTTGGACTTAACTAATGAATATAATTCAAATTCTTTTTACTGGCTATTTTACAGTGTCTTTGAATATGGCTCATCCTGAACTACCTATGTGATATTATTGAATTTGCACTGTTGAGTTCCTTAGAAAAATCAGATCTTTTCATTTACATCTATCAGTTGTACTTCAGTTGTAAAGTATTTATTTCATTAGCTGATGATCATATTTTTATTTATATATTTTTTTCACTGAATATTCAGCAAAGCTGTATCATGACATACTGTCATATATAACTACTCATACCAGGGTGTTGGTTATACCACCATCCCGAAGCAAGAATGCCAGTCAGTCACGCTTCTGACCGCTCTGCCTTACGGTCATTAAAACACACACTGACCACAGTGGGAGGAGCCAAACCCGCAGTCATAATTTAGACCAGAACTATGTGTTTATGGGCCACTTTTTGTTCTGTTGATGAGTAATGTTCTTGTGGCTGTGAGTTATTTATTGGATTCAGGCATGAGCTTTAATTCCAGTGCTGGCAGCCGTGTTTTCTGCGTGAGGTGAGTCCTTTGATAGGCCTCTGTCCGTGTGTATGTGTGAATCCACCGGTATTTCTCACTGACCTGGTGAATGAGCAGTCAGATATGTGTGGCTTGACTTGGTGGTGTGAGAAAAGGATATGAGTCTACTCACCCACTCGCCCACCGTACCAAACACTGATATAATAGTCGCCTCTTAAACTGGAGGAAACAGTGACACCAGTTTTAGATGTATTACTCCATGGCATTCACAGCTGATTGTTATCAAATGATCAGATAATATCATTAATATATACAGTATATATATATATATATATATAGAGAGAGAGAGAGAGAGAGGGAGATAAAATATGCCAAGGGGTAATAATGGAACAGCAAAGTGATTTTCCACTATTATTTACAACAGGATCTGCATTTTCATGGGTTTAAATAAAAGGCGTTTGACAAGACTGGGTAACATGCATTTTTTTTTTTTTTTTCAACAATTTGATATTCAGAGTCATATTCTACACACATTCTGTCTACACATATTTTTATTATTTTTATTTAATTTTTTTGTCATTATTTTCTAAACTTTTTAAAAAAGAACACATTTGCTACCTCCTAGGCCATGGTTTAGAAAAGCCTCCAGATTTTTAACAATACTCGTTGTGTCTATTGAAATGTGAGCTTGCACGTTATTTGATTTTTTTGGACATCAAAGTCATTTGACTGCCTCTGTCTCGCAATACAATGGGAAATTCCACTCCACACTGAAGAATCATTTAAGACTCAAGTCAGAATTAAAATGAAGGCGTGTTTGGAAAAATGTCTCACTGAAATGCCAAACAAACATAGCAAGTGTCTGGAAAAATGGAGTCCGTTCTTGAGATTCCTGATCGGCAGAAGCCTGGATGAGAGTGTGTTTGATGGATAGATGGATAGGTCTGTTTGAAGTGCTGTCTATTGGCTGGTAAAAACTTTAGCGAAGACATGTTCCCATGAGTTCGTAAAGTTGAGTTTGAAAGATTGAGAATGTCTACCTCAGACCGGTGGCGCATGCTTAGGTTTTTTTGAGGGGAGAGGAGAGTGTGAATGTTTACTTTGTGTTTTGAGTGGGTGTGTGTACTTTGCTTGATTAACACAAAGACTTGTTTTAGGGTCCGTATTAGTGGACATGTTGTCCTCTTTGCCTATCTTTTGGGGTTGAATGTATTTATGTGTGAATGTGTTTCTGTGACGCAAACCGTTGGTTTTTTAGAGTTGAGGCCTAAAAAGAGAAACTTTGACTGGGTGAGTTGAGAAACCAGTTTGGGTTTGGCAATGACGGAGTGACCCTTCCCAGATGCTTTTAGTCCAAGTTAAAGAATGGGCAAATTTAGACATATACACTAGCGTTCAAGAGTTTGGGGTCTCTTATGCTCACCAAGGCTGCATTTATTTGATCAAAACTACAGTAGAAGCTTTAATATTGTGAAATATTATTGCAGTTTAAAATAGCTGTCTTTTATATTAATACATCATTTAAAATCGAATTTATTTAATTGATGCAAAGCTGAATTTTCAGCATCATTACTCCAGTCTTCAGTGTCACATGATCCTTCAGAAATCATTCTAATATGCTGATTTGGTGCTCAATAAACATTTCAGTAAATTTCACAAATAACTGCAAAGAAATGGCAAATTAAACATGAAATTTTGAAGTAGAAGAACTGAAATAGTATATTCTTGTAAAACGTACTCTATAAAATAATCTTTTTTTATTTGCAACTTAGAATAAATTTTTTTACAGTGCCAGTGTTTAATACATATAAGGGGGTTGATTTGTGTAACTTCATACTCTGTTCTCCTGGATTTTCTTCCTATGTTTGTACATCAGCCATCCTGAGTGGGACTGCAGGATGTGACAAAAGATAAAATAACTTTTCCATTCTCTTCTTGAGACACTTCTTGTCATAGTATGTAGGTTCCTATAGATAACTTTTGGTGATCTTAGTAAGCGAAAGAAAAAGAAAACCCGTTAATCAGTATGTAGCCTATATGTGGGATGGGTTTAGTATCTATCTTTCTATCTATTTACACTACCATTCAAAGGTTTGGTGTGAGTAAGATTAAAAAAAAGTATACTTTTATTTAGCAAGGATGCATTAAATGAATCAAAAGTGACAGTAAAGACATTTATAATGTTACCAAAGATTTCAAATAAATGCTGTTTGTTTGAACTCTCTAACCAAGGATTCTTGAGGAAAAAAATAAAAAAGGTATCACGGTTTCCACAAAAATATTAAGCAGCACTGTTTTCAACATTGATAATAATAAGAAATATTTCTTGAGCAGCAGATCAGCATATTAGAATGATTTCTGAAGCATCTTGTGACACTGAAGACTGGAGTAATGATGCTGAAAATTCAGCTTTGTAAAGTAAAATTCATGGGGTAAAGTAGGGGCAAGCATGTCCCCCGTGAGTGTGTGTGTGTGTGTGTGTGTACTGGTATATATGGTTTATGGGGACACAAATGTGTATAATGACATGGGTACTACAACGTAAACATGGTTTATGAGGACACTTCCTCTGTCCCCGTAAAACAAAAGGCTTAAAAAACATACAAAACGGTGTTTTATGAAATTCAAAAATTGCCAGTAGTT